TAAGTGTCAGCATTGTGTGTACAGTACTTTTAGCACCGGGAATTTGGAAAGGCACATCCGCACTCATACCGGTGAAAAGCCATATCGATGCGATCAATGCGGTAAACGTTTCTCAGATCATTCTAACCATAAACAACACATGAAGGTCCACGAAAAAGAGTTTCCATTTCATTGCTCACGCTGTTTCCGTAGATTTTTGAATGAGAATGACAAGAATTCGCATGAAACGGCTTGTAAGACACGACGATATGATTGCTACATATGGAAAGAGGTCTCTGTTGGTAACAAACATGATTTGAAAAAAACATATGCGAAAACACATCGGAAAAAAGCCATTTCAATGTGAAATATGTCTGAAAAGTTTGGCCACAAAAGTAACTCTAAAGCGCCATTTCAACAGCAAACATACTTAGCGTACATGAAAATCTTCAAGAAAATTAAACTAGAATATTGGACTTAAACTTCTTTTCAAAAAAAATATGACAATTAATTCCGTTGAAGCGTTTAAACCAGAAATCAATTTTGTATCACTACTTGAATTGTATATAAAAATACATAAAACCACGTCTTAGAAACAACATACATTTTTTTAAATTGAATCTTAAAAATTGTGCGTCGAACTTTAACTGATAATAAAATACCCCTATTTCGTAACAAAACAAATTGTCTAGTAGAGCCAAAAGATAATATAATTTCATAGTTGATACGGCCATCAAGCAGGCGCGCTTGTTCATTAGCGATCAAAAATTGTGTGTCCAGTGACAGCAATAAATTGAAGGTAAAACCACACTTGGCCAAGTTGGCATACACACATCGTCAATTCCAGAAAATCATCATCAGTACTTATGAAGACGACAAACATTCTTTCTTAGATTAAATATTAGGTGCTTTTCCAAATATGTCTAATGATCCTTAGCAATTTAAGTAGATAACTCGTAGTTCTTATATACACAAGGTCAACTTAAAACGGATTCTGTTTAGTACACACCATTGACGATTTTACTAGTTTTTCAAATCTCAGGTCAAATTGTGGCACTCATTAAAAGTGCAATATTTAGCCATGTCGCAAGATTAAGAGGAAAACCAGACTAATCAGTTGACCTGAGTTCTTGAAAACTCTCTGAAAATTCTTACTGTATTTCGACGAAATTTTAATTCATTTATCTAGAGAATGAAAACTTGCTTGTTGCACCAACTGACGACTCTGGTTTACATAAAAAAGAGACGACATGGGCATAATTTGTGTCATTTCTACCTGTTTCTGAAGACAAACATAACAAATCGGGATTCAAACGCAGTTTAAAAGACGTTGACTTATCGATTCATATCCACTTTTCAAACCAACTTCAAAGTGTGAACATCAGTTAAAATCATCGTTGTTGTTAAACAAATTGGTAAATAAATCACAACGCTCAAGTATAAGCTCAAATAACCTCGTGCAGCTTGGCGTCATTTCCTCCACTTTCATATGTTTGCATTGATGTTTGAACTTCGGCAAGAAAGCTTCTACAAATGGACGTTAAATGCGAGTGGAGACGCCACAAAAATGACTCCAATATAGTCGATTATTGATCGAACCACTTTACAAGCTGAAACTCTTAACTATTATAGAAGAACGCATCTCTTCAGTTTTTGAATTAGTTCCAAGTCAGATTTAGAGAGATATTTCACAATTCAGTTTGTGATCAAATCCGAATGAAAGTTTCAATTTAAAATCATAAATTAAACTTTGCACGAACAAGGTAAAGCTTTAATTTTTATTCAAAAACATATCTACTAGAGACTTTTGTTTATGACTTTCTAAAAAAAACGTTCTCTATATGTCCTAACTATCTCATTTGTATTTCATTACATAGATGGACTTGTTGGCGATTTGGAAGAATGACAAGAGCAAAATGCTCGCTGCGATCAATCATCAAGTGACATTGTCTTTGAAATCAATAAAAATGGCATTCCAGCTCAGTGGCCAAGTAGCTCAGGACTTTTTTCTTAGTACAGATATCAAGGAAGATTTTCTCCGCAGCGCAAACTCACAGTAAGTTGAAGAATATTTTGTGTATTTCCAAGGCCAAGTCAACTTGAACTGAATTCAATTTGTTTACTAGGATTGAGGAAGCGTACAAATAATTCGCCATTTTTTCAAAGGTGGAAGATCAACTCCACGACACTATCTCAAGTATGATTCGACTAACAAATGCCAATGAACAGGCGTTGAAATCAGCGGTACTCCAAAGACGAGACTTAAGTCAACATATGGACGATCCCATTGAACTGGTTGACTCGGATGACGAAGCAAGCGTGAACAGAGACTGCATCAAGTCGGAAACACGTGCAATCAGAATAAATCCTCCTACTGAATCATCTCTTGACAATCCAGCGAATGATAAGCACTATTCCGGAAGTGCTGCGTAAAATCGGTGAATATTTCTCACATTTCTGTTTTATTTTGAAACTTGTTTGATAATTTGGAACGTTGATGTGTGTTTATTTAGGCTTTTGCAAGCTGATGGACGATTGAAGGCTGCTTCAATGCTGAACGATCAAGTGAATGGGCGGGCTAGAGCAGATATGTTGAATTCTAATAGAGGAGCTCATTTGGTCAATTCATCGAATGTTATTGCTTCTTCATCAAGTCGTATCGAAGGTCACAGTGCGAATGAACAAGAACATCCAATGTCAAAAGACAAAACGATCCAAATCAACGCCTCAAGTATTAAAACAGTTGAATGAACATTCATTCAAGTCGAAGACTCCGACCATGAGGAAATGCCGAACTCGTTTTCAGAAGGAAATGAAGAATTTGAAGCTGTGGAAGGTGGAGCCAATGGAGTAGTGCAAGGCAAACCTTCGTCTCATGTCTCTTTGAATCAAAAGAATGGAGATGATAATGAGGTTTGTGTCAAGACGGAAAATGACATCAAACCAAAACTGGAATCGATGGATGACGATATACCGTTCGTGCTTGTTGCAATCGCTTGAGAAACAAACGCATCAAATGGAAGTATCGCCAATAGTGGTCGAATAATAGCCGTGATGAGAGCCGGACAGTGGTTGAAAAAGCAGTTTCAAATGAAAATTATTCACATCAAACTTTGGAACAGAAATCAAACGCCTATGCGACTGGCAGAAGTTCATCGCAAGCAGCCAGAAAAACTAGAGTAGCAAACGAAACGCAAGTACGCTAGCAAGCACGAGAAGGTTCAAGCAGTAAGAAGTTGAAACGTTACAAGTGTCAACATTGTGACTACGGTACTTCTCATCCCGGGCATTTGGAAAATCACATGCGTACTCATAATGGCGAAAAGCCATATCGATGCGATCATTGCGGTAAACGTTTCTCAGATCATTCTACCCATAAACAACACATGAAGGTCCACGTAAAAAAGTTTCCATTTCATTGCTCACGCTGTTTCCGTGGGTTTTCTCTCGAGAATGACAAGAATTCGCATGAAATGGTTTGTAGGACACGACGATATGATTGCAACGTACGCAAAAAGACCATCGCTGGAGATGAACATTAAACTGGAAGTCAATTTTGTGGTGTTACTTGAATTATATACGAAATAAAAGCTATACATGAGATTTAATTGATATTAATTGACTCACAAACAACATAAAATTAGGAAATTAACGTTGTTTGCATAGATTATACTATCCAAAACAAACGTTTTGAAATACTTCAATTCGCAATGACATTTTTGGTTTACATGTAATACATATGCAAAGAATTTTCTAAGAAGATTCAAACGTTAGCAAACTTACTCCCGTTGCTCGTCCTTATTTGTCTCAATTTTTGGCGGTGCAATTAAATGGCAACACTCACTGATTGCTGTCAAACGTTCCAGTTTCAGTTTGTACAATGCTGTGACCCATCTTTACTATGCACTAATACCAAGGCGCAAACAGAACGAAACTCAAATGTCAAACCAGAGAACGTGACTTGTGCGTAATTGCTTCATATGCTTGATCTAAACGATTAATAAGTGTGATTGAACATAGAAAAAGTAATATATCTGCTAACAATTTCATAGAAATAATCCGAAATACCCATATTTCGTAAAAAAAACAAACTGGCTAGAGTCAACAGACAATAACATTTCATAGTTTGGTCGTATCAATCAGGCGTTTGTTCATTAGTGAACAACAATTGTGTCCAGAGACAGCAATAAATTGAAGGTAAAACCACATTAATCATTAATTGCACTGAATTTAGCTATTGAAATGAGAATTATGCGTATTGGAGTATAAATGAGTTAATATAAAGGAAAAAATATCATATCGTAGCTAAAAATTCATTTTTCCTTCAAATAATCGGCTAATTTCGTCACAGCCATCGAACATAACCTCAACCAGATCACCAACTAGCGACTAAAGGTAAAATTGAAAGTGAATTTCTATGTTTATTTCTCAGCTCAATCGTTGTTTCCTAACTGAATTCAATTGACTAGATACAAACCATTAAAATTTGTACTATTTTCTGTTATTGATTTTACAGCACTTTGAATTTGCCACAAAGAGGGAAACCAATCAGTAACGATGCCAGTTTTCGACCCACTGAACAGCGATTATTCAAGTAAATTGCTCACGGCGATCGGAAGAAAGTTGTACTTGAACTCTAAACTGGCCGATGTTCACTTTGTTTTCGGAGCAAATGATCACAACGAACGAGTGCCGGCCCATAAAGCTCACTTGATGGCTGGCAGCGATGTCTTCGCCACAATGTTCAATGGATCGTGGAAGGAGAAAGATGAGGTTGAGATCGCGTACGCATCTGCTGCTGTTTTCAAGGAATTTCTTCAATTCTTCTACTTCGGGCAAGTCAAACTGACGATGGAAAACGTCGCCGCAGTGATGAACCTCGGTGAAATGTACAACGTAGCCGAGTGCTTGACGGTGTGCAGCAAGTTTCTAAAGAATAATCTCAACGATGACAACGTCTGTCGCCACTATGAATTGGCAATCTTGTCCAATCAGAAGAGCTTGAAAAAGGCATGTGAAACATTTATTGGATCGAATATCAAAGCAGTACTCAAGTCCACCGACTTCCTGACATGTGATCAGAAGATGTTGGCTCAAATACTGCAGCTGGATTGGATGCTGTGCTCAGAGGTTGAGCTCTTTGAGGCGTGTATGTCGTGAGTCCGAATGTCAAGCAAAAAGAATGTTTTAACCAAGAAGCTCGTGCTATCCCGAATTCGTGATTCGTTTAACGAAATTCGCTTTGGATCGATGCCGTTTCAGGAGTTTGCTGCACTGATTCCAACGTATGATCAACTTTTCGTTGGTGACGATTATGCAACCATCATTCAAATGATTGCGGACGATAAATTTTCAACGGATAAATTCAACGGAAATCGTGAGAGACGCTGCGATTCGGAACCATGGAACGAGAAAGATGAGATTGAATGCAATCGATTGCTTTCGCATCACAATTCATGTACTCCATATTTTCTCAACGATTTGGAAACAACCAAGTTCTCCACCAACGCACCACTGTTGCTAATAAGTTTCACTCTGGATAGCGTTGAAGAATATCGTCGACGAAAGTACATTAATTGTGAAGATGTTCCAACAAAAGTAACCATAGTCGAAGTGTCCAATTCTGAAATGTCCGATTCCGAAGATTTTGATTCAGAAACGTCTGATTCTGATGATTCCGATTCCAATGATTACGATTCCGATGATTCCGATTCCAATGATTCCAGTTCCGAAGAGCCTAGAAATGAAGCGGTTCTATACAAGGGAAAAACAAAATTGAAAAGCTCTTACTGCAAGGAAGTCGTGTTGACGAAACCAGTTCTGGTTAGACCTGGATTTATGTACGAAATTCGATTGAAGCAAAATCCCCCACGGTATTATGCCACTGGCGCCCTACTGAAATCGAAAGTTCGAATGAAGGGTGGCATCACCATCCAATTTCATGATGACCCACTGATTCCAGATGATATTTCGTCAACCGGCTTAATATTCACACTTTCTTTCTGTTCAATTGCCGAATAATTTCTGACAAAATCCCCATATGTTTTTTTTGAATAAGATTGAATTTTTTCAACTTCACTACAATGAGTCATTGTTACTACTGTTTCATGCGGTTAATGTAATAAAAAATACGTTTATTTTTGAATAAAACCCATATCCAGATGAATTGCATTTTCTTCTTCGAAGTTATTTTATTAAATCATTTATTTTAGATTAAATTTCACGCCAAGACTCGTTCTGGTTGGAAATTACTAATGAGTGTTACGTTCATATGAAGAAGAGATATGACCTGAATTGAATAAGTAGGTAAGAAAATAAGTGTTTTATTCTGAAGAAGACTCAATGACTGGATTGAATTATTTGTGTTGACATAGCAATCGATATGTGTTTCCCAGTAGGGAATTTTTGTTTCGAATGAAATGCTTTGAAATTCAAATAGAAACAGATTCGAATGAGACTGTAAGAAAAGTGATGTTTCTTTTTCGAAGAAATTTATTTTCGTGTTTGATTTTGAAGCAATGAAATCTTCATCGCTTTAGTCAGGAAAATCCATGAATTTCAATGTTTTCATTTTTTTCGTATGTGTTGAAGCAATCAAATAGCACTATTCGCTGTCAAAGAGAATCAGTTCAGATGTAATGACATTGCCGTGACGCTACGCTACTACCAACACACTGTGTGTTACACATAAAACGAATCATAAATGTCAAACCAAAAAACGCCATTCCTGCAAAATCGTTCTATGTTGTTTAGCTAAACGATAGAAAAACGTGACTAAATATTGAACAAATAATTTTTTTCTAACAATTTCATAGAATTAATCGAAAATTTCCACATTTCTTCACAAAGCAAATTGGCACTATAGAGCCAAAAGAAATTTGACCAAAAAGAACAAGAAATTGAAGGTAAAATCACTTTCATCATTCATCGCACTAGATTTTACAATTGAAATGAGAACTAAATAGTGGAATGAATCAGAATGTCGGATTCAGACTCAATAAATAGATGCCATAGAAAATCTGTTCTTTTCTATCACTTCGTAGCTAAAAATTCACTTTTACCCACAGATAATCGACGAATTTCATCACAGCCTTCGAACATAACCTCAACCACATTAGCAATTCTCAATTAAAGGTAGTCAAAATAAATTTCTATGTTGATTTCTCCGACTGAGTTTCTCAGTACACTCTTTGATTTCAAATTCAATTTAAGAATTATTCCAAATCATTGAAATGTGTAACATTTTCATCGTTGATTTTGCAGCACTTTAGATTAGCTGCAAAGAGGCAACCCAATCATCAACAATGCCAGTTTTTGATCCACTGAATAGCGAGTACACAACTCAATTGTTCTCGGCGATTGGAAAAGAGTTGTACTTGAATTCTGAATCGGCCGATGTTCACTTTGTATTCGAATCAAATGATGACATCGAACGAGTCCCGGCGCACAAAGTACTCTTGATGGCTGGCAGCAATGTCTTTGCCACAATGTTCAATGGATC